CTGCTGAACATGAAGAACCTGTAAATTTGTACAGCATTACAGCAGAGCAACAAACAGTTTACAGCTTAGCTTTCAACTGCACATTGAAACACATGACACTTATAAACTATAGGCATTGTTTACTGCTTAAAAGTATTCAAGTAAAATCCTAGAGTATTCAAAAATTTAAGAACATTGACCAATACACATTTGAGGCCCTGTACAGCAAGAGTTTCAATCTTCTTTCATCATTCAAATGATTAACTCCAAAAGCAGCTGTAGCATAAGAATATATAGAAGCACATTTGAATCTCACCTTCCTACCAGACCTAGTGGAAGATTTTAACTTAAATGAGAGAACTACAACTTAAAACAATCATCTTTCAATAGCCACAGTGCTCAAGAACTAGTAAGTTCTAATAAGTTTCCCTTTAAGGGGGAAAACTTTGCTGAAACTAATGAAAATAAGTTATTAAAAGATAGGCTGAGTTTGATATTCATAAATTCCAACAGTACATTAGTGTACTGGAATGTAAAACAGATTATTTAGGAAGAAACAAAGGCTCATCCCCCAAAGCAAACTTCCCCATGGATATCCAGTGCCTACATTGCATTTCCTGCATCCCGTCCTCTCTTTGGAAAAGCTAAGGATGGATTTTTAATAGCTGACCTGTATTAGTAACATCATGGAGTACTAAATATCTATTACCAGGAAACTTACAAGTCTGAAATTAATAAAGTATTAATTTTTTAAAAATAAATATTTATCTGAAAGTTTATTTGTATTTCCAAACAGAAAAGTAGTTTACAGCTGAACGATTACTCCTAATAAGCAAACAGAACAACAAAATTGAATACTCATCACTGCTAATACCAACATACTTGTTAATAAACAACTACAACAGAATTACCTGCAGTGTTTCATCTTTTGGAGACCGGCAACGCCTCCTTCTTGGAGTTGCTTGCAGAGGATATTCAAATCTAGAAAAGATATTTTAAAAGACAACCGTTTTTATCCAATAGCTGATGATAAAATTCCCATTGTTAAGATAAAAGACCTGGCAATAGCTGGCCCCTCCCAACACCACACACATGCCAGCTTTAGAAGCTTCAAAATACTCCTGAACTTCTGCCCTAAAACTGACTACCCCTAAAACAAAGTCAAAATGATGTCTCTAGACAATTCTACCCTTACTGGTTTAGCTTAATGTAATATAAATGTGAATAAAACATATCTTTAAGCAACCCTGCCTTCTGAAGAAGGTCTATAATCTTCATAAAAATTAGGAAATAAACTAGATTAACTACTGATTCTGAAGATGGTAAAAGGACATTTTCATTTTTCCCATTTCTCTACAGCCATCATCTGTATCTGAGAAAATTGGGGCTGTTCAGCCTGGAGAAGAGAAGCTGCGTGGAGACCTCAGAGCAGCTTCCAGTGTCTGAAGGGGGCTACAGGGAAGCTGGAGAGCGACTCTTCATCAGGGACTGTAGCAATAGGACAAGGGGTGATGGATTTAAACTTGAACAGGGGAAATTTAAGTTGGAGATAAGAAAGTTCTTCCCTGTGAGGGTGCTGAGGTGCTGGCACAGGGTGCCCAGAGAAGCTGTGGCTGCCCCATCCCTGGCAGTGTTCAAGGGCAGGTTGGACACAGGGGCTTGGAGCAACCTGCTCTAGTGGAAGGTGTCCCTGCCCGTGGCAGGGGGTTGGGACTGGATGATCTTAAGGTCCTTATGAACCCAAACCATTCTATGATTCTGTCTTCATCCAGCAGGAAGAGCCTGAAGCCACAAAGCTCTGCACATTGTTTGCCTGCAGAACACATTCTGGGATGGAGGCATGAACAGTTTATCACTGGCACTTACCTGAAAGATCGATCAATAATGGTTACCACATCGCCATGCTTCAGAGGCACAGGCTGCTGGAAACCAGCCCCATTCAGCTGCGTGGGATTTACTGTACTTAAATTAGTCAATATTGCCTAAAAATAGAACAAACACTTCAGTAACCTGATGAGATGCAACGATGCAAAGCATGTGCCATTAGAATACGTGGATCTTACCTCCTTGTTTTCATTTACTTCAATTTTACAATGTTCTTTTGAGACCTGAGGCAACTGGATGCGAATATCACACTCTGTTCTCCTGCATGTGAAAATATAATTTCAGTTTCAAGACTCACAAAAGACAATAAAATCTGACTACTATAGAATTAGGTGATTTCCCAACTTTTCAGGTAATAATTGTACAGCAGAATGATACTTTCTTATATTTGGAAACAGGAGGAAAACGAACTCTCGAAGTTTTCCAAGTGTGGTGAAAAATAACAGCTCACACTTCTGGAATAACAGAAAATCCCTATCAGAAAAGACACATGAAGTAGCCAAGTTCTGAAAAAGCTCTTCACAACAAATCAAAAGAGACGCATCTCCAACAGATACCTGGTGGTTTGAGATTACTTCTCTCCCAACTTACAAGCTGCAGAAGAGCTATTGAATATTTTTAGAAAATACCAGCACATGCTTTTAAGTTTGCACTTAAGAACTTGTTACTGAGCACTCTCAGAAACAGAGTATTAAGTGGATGGACCTTTGGTCTCACCACTTCTACCTTCTTAATAGTTGTTGGGAAGTGAAAGCTATGTCTAAGCATCCAGACTTTTTAATTTCTTTATTTAAAGCTAATCTCTAATACTTTTGACGTGCTGTAGATCTTCAGCAGCAAACATCAGCTATCACACCAGCGGCAACATTCACTGAAGTACCTGACACCTCTCACTGATGCAGCAGGCAGAAATTAATGTTTGTACCATTAAGTATTGTCTGGCTGGGCAGTTCTGCTGAAGCCAAAGAGCAGTATCATGAACACTGAAGAGCTTTCCACAGATGTTTCCCTATGAAATCTGATTCTGGACTGAATAATTACAGATATTTAAGATATCTATCAGTCAGTAAAGTGCTGAACAGACTGAGTTTAAGAGAACTAAAAGCATTTTATTTAAGGTCTGTTTATAGTAAGATCATATAGCCAAGTCTTCACATATACCATTCAGACATATTGATTTTGGCTTTTAATGTAAAATAGCTGGATCAAGCTCAAAACTCGCTATCACTCAACTGTCAAAAGTCAAAGTGAGTTTCAAGATTGGAGGAGAAGGCATAAGTTCTTATTAATTTTTAATATTAAATATAGATATTGGCTGACACATTCCATTACTGAGGTCTTGGAGAACCAAAAAAGTAAGAATACAAATTGAGAAGAGCACTGCTGTAATGAAGATGGCTGAATACAAGCCATGTACCTCGCTTCACTCATCAGTTATCTGGATACTGCCTCAGGATAAAAGAATACAATCACTTGCTTGTCAGCTCTTTGCTGCTTTTAATCCCTTCCCCAGACTTCCTTTGGCCAGAATCTTTAAAATAATTCTGGCAAAGAAAGGACAAAAAGCAGCAATGAAAATCAAGTTCAGTTTTCTAGTCTTACAATTAACTTTAGTCCAATCTCGCCTTCACTCCCCTGTACATCATTCAAATAAGCAAACACTGACTTTTGTAAATAAGCATTAAAAGATATCATCTGCAGAGAAAAATCACTGCTATTACTTTGCTGTATGCAAGTACTCAACTAAATCTCACCTTCCAAATAAACAAGAACTTGCAGTGAGTGGAAAACTAATTCCATCAGTCCCATTCCTCTTAATGACAACAATTTTCCCAAAAAGCGTCATCTTCAAACGTAAGGAATCTTACCTATAAAAGAACATCAAAATTACCCATCTGAATAGCGTGTTACATATTTAGAAAAGCAAATCAGTGTCATTATCTTTCTTACTTCTGTTCAAGAGCCATTTTCCAGTGTACAGGAGAAGAGCCTTAGTGTCATTTACATATGCTCACCTGTGTGGAAAACTGGGAGCTGTTTTCCATGAGGCACCACTGTAACCACACACAGGGCAGAAGAAACTAAGGCTTGCATAGGGCAGCAGGAGCAGTCATCCAGGTGCATGTAAACTCGGTTATACCACTTTTACACAGACCATAGGTATTTGCTGCTCGTGCAAAGATTTGGAGGTGTATTTCATCCCATAAGCAATTTACAAGTATTTTCACATAGAGCCATTCACCTAAAACTAAATATTGTACATTTTCTTACCTACATAGAAATTCTTAGAACGTTTTTCAAAGTAAACAGAAACCAACTGACTGCAGTTGTATCCTCCTGAAGCAGGAGGAGATTGTGGCATGACCTCAAAGGAAAATAGCTGAAAGGAAAGCTGAAAGGTTTGCTGTGATCTCCTGTTAGGCTGCTCATACAGCAGAGAGGTGGCAAGTGCATCTCTGCACGCACACACCAGGAAAGCAGAATAAACAGCATTTACCTTGCAAAACAAAAACGCACCAAAACCCCAAACCCACAGCATTTGCATAGACTGATACACTGATCCCTCCATGTCTGAGTGTGCCACGGGTCACAGAGCCAGAGAATGGTTTGTGTTGGAAGGGACCTCAAAGCTCCTCCCGCTCCAACCCCTGCCACGGGCAGGGACACCTTCCACTAGAGCAGGTTGCTCCAAGCCCCTGTGTCCAACCTGCCCTTGAACACTGCCAGGGATGGGGCAGCCACAGCTTCTCTGGGCACCCTGTGCCAGCGCCTCAGCACCCTCACAGGGAAGAGCTTCTGCCTTCAAGAAGTACAAGCACCCCTCAAGAAAGCATAGAGCAAACATACTATCAAATACTATGTCCTTGAAGGTGACGATCTAAACACAAGGAAACTGAATGCAGCCAAGAACGATCCTTCCGAACTGTTATACTGGGTTTCATGCGATAAAACAAAACATTTGCTGGGAAAGCCCCGACAAAACACACCTGACAGTACCCTTAACGAACGCCTTTACGTGTGCATTACAAGCGCCAGAATTCAGCTTTCC